AATGGAGACCAACTTTGAAGGAGAATGTTCTTTGTTTCCCGTTTGTGTCACAGCTTCACAAGTTTGGCAAGTTAGTCAGTTAGCAAACGTTTGCAGACATGTCTGTGTCTTCCTTGCAAACTACAGGTGACCACAGCGGTCTGCTAGTGACCAAAGTGGTTTAAAAAAATAAGTTTTTTGGTGCAGCACTTGCTTTGTGACCAGTTTCACCTAGCAACAGCAAGCAACCTCCAAGAACCCCCAACCACTCAGGGAATAGACACTTTTAACACCGAAAACAATAGTTAAATAAGATTTTGGTTACTTCTTCGATCGTGGCTCAAGAGTTGGGAGTTCGCCTTGTAATCAGAAGGTTGCCGGTTCGAGCCCGGCTCGGACAGTCTCGGTCGTTGTGTCCTTGGGCAAGACACTTCACCTACCGCCTGGTAGGGCTGGTGTTGGCCAGAGGGGCCGATGGCGCGATATGGCAGCCTCGCTTCTGTCAGTGCGCCCCAGGGCAGCTGTGGCTACAACTGTAGCTTGCCTCCACCAGTGTGTGAATGTGTGTGTGAATGGTGGATGACTGGGTGTGTAAAGCGCTTTGGGGTCCCTAGGCGGGACTAGTAAAAGTGCTATACAAATACAGGCCATTTACCATTCTTCGTCTTTTCTAATTAGCTGTTCATGACTATAAACACAGTTTAACTCAACCATGTCTAGTCTTAAACATGTTCATTCTTTTAATACAGTACACCCACTAATAGCAAGCACAAGCACCCTGTACGTGTATTTTAGTGAAGGTCTTGGAATAAAATGTGCTTAAAGCTAACAGAGAAGCTAACATCACACAGACAAAATCCATAATTTCCTTAACGACCAGCAAGCGGTAGAAGTGTTTCAAACTAGGCATTAGTTGTGTTGCTGTTTTCTAAAATCTGATATGGATCCCAAGGATATGCTCTAAGAAAATACATGTTTTGTTTTTTTTTAATCTGTTGGCTTATTTGAAGCTATTTCGTAGTCTGCCTTGTAAGCTCATTTTAGAAACTCACTGATTTAGCGTCAGCGACATATGTGGGTTTTGACAAGCACGCTCATTATGTAATTACCCATCAAAGTGACAACACTGTTTATGTGACCACATTCACCATCAAAGCTGCCCACCCGTCTTTAAAAAATTAAAATTTACTTTTATTGTTCTGGTGTCATTGGTGTCACTCTTTTGCGGATTTTCCTTATTTCTTTTCCTATTGACGCTTTTTTGTCTTCATTTTCTGAAGGTGGGTTGCAACATTTGAAAACAAAACAAAATCTCCTTGGGATTTCTTTGTTCCACCCAGACAACTTGTCCTTAGTTTTTACTAGTTTGGGGGATTTGAAAGTGCATTAAAGTAAAACTCTTATAAACACACAATTAAACTGTTGCTTAAGACCTCACAAATTGTTGCATGTAGACACAAGTGTCTTGTGCCTTGCCTTTCCAGAACCTCTTTTATCTCTCTTTGAAGCACATTACAAAGAAATGGGCTAACCCATCAGTGCCATAGCAACAAACTGAACCATTTCGACACTATGTATGACTATGTTGGCTGGTTTTTTACCCTGTCGATGTATATAAAGGGACTTCTTGACTAATGGATATGCAACTGTTTAGTCCACTGAATCATCTAAAGCGTTCTATATATTACCATTTGTGGAAAACTTAGTGCCCCAGTGTAAACACAGAAACAGACTTTGTTTATGGTACATACCATTTCAGCATGGAAAATGGTTGCGTTTAGATGTGCTATTTGAAGAACAGAAAAACAGAAGACGAAACCCCCGAGGAAACATCAACCTCCTGTTTTCCTTATCTGGTTTGTGTTTTATCATGACGGAAGCGCAATGTTCCCATCGCTTCCTCCGTGATGGTGCTAGTGAGAGGGATGGTGATGAGTGAGCGGATGCTCTGCACTGACTCGTTTGGTGCCTGAGACAAGAAACCTCGTAGCCGCACAATAACGCTGGCGATTGATGTGACTCTCTTAGGATGCCCAGTTTCCCATTGGAAGCACACCTCATTAATCTTTGTATCAACATAAATTACAATAATAATACCACTCAACAAGAAACAGAGTATGAGAGCCTTAGTTTCCTACAAATGGCCCTCAGTGGTATTTATCACTGGAGGAAGATATTTGTTTCCTCTGTATTTTACGCTGTCACACCTCATTGTTACCTAATAATCTCACGGTGAAATTGAAAAATTGCTTTGAATTATATGATATAAACATGTTGTGTGTCGATAGGCTCCCATTGCATCATTTCCCTCTTAGTCTGCGTCTGCAGTCTACTGTTTAATAACTGGGAAAGAGGTGATGTAGTTTCAAAGCCGCCCCCGGCAATGTTTCCATACGTGGACCCCTCATTATCCAGCTTGTGTACAAGTGTGAAATTCCTGTGGGATTTTAAAGCAGCCACTGCCAGTTTCAGCAGCGTCCTTTGTAATTAGCTGCCCGCTAACAAGTGGCGTCTCTCCTGCAGATTAAAGTCGAAAACCAACAGGACTTCCAGGACATCACCAGCGTGGTGGCTCTGGCAGGGACCTACGCCACCACCGAGCCGTACATCCAGTCCAAGTACGATATCAGGATCCAGAAGATCGGCAGCAACTACAAAGCTTACATGTAAGGTGTTTTTTATTGGCTCGCTGCAACCAACTTCTGGTGGCTGTTGGTGGCATTGCAGGTGAATTTGATGGCAAACATTTTAAGCGTTTTAGCAGGTTAATGGTAGCAAGGCATGTGGAGCCAGTGGGAAATGAAGGCCTCTCATAAAGCATCATCTGGAAAATAAACAGTTTCACCAATAATGGCAAATTATATCTTAAAGTAGCACTTTTCTTGGATTCCAAGCAGTTTTCAGCATTAATGCCTTTATTTTCATGGCCTCATGCCCCAGCTCCACCCATCTGGAAGCCATAGACATTCCTGTCAGCCAAGGATATTACAACAAAGAATTTGTGCTCAACCTTTTAGCTTTCAAGACTGTATCTGAACAATTGCTCAACCGAAATCGGAGAGGGGGGGCAAAGTAGCCAAGCCTTATCTCATCGTATTTTTTTCCCTGCCCTCACCATTAAACTGTGTTTTTGATTGGCTTTCACACAAACATTATCTAGGTGTGGATGGTCATCATTGATGAACTGATGATAGCTTCCCCCTTGAGGGGGAAAAGCAAACGTTGGGAGCGATTAACTGTTGCTGGAGCATTTTAGCTTGTTTTTTGCAGAAATATGAATTCATTTCCTGATGCCCCCCCCCTCCCCCCTTCAGGAGAACATCCATTTCTGGTAACTGGAAGGCCAACACAGGTTCTGCCATGCTGGAACAGATCGCAATGACTGACAGGTGAGCTGGTTCAGAGATTTTCTTGGAAAAATGCAGATCTGTTAAGTACACTGAATCATTCAGACATCTGTGTTCAATTGAATACACCGGCACTACTTTTAAGCATGAATCTGATTATCTCATTGTCCAAAAGTCTTGGAAGCCTTTCCTGACATTTATAGCTGTTAAATCCATTCTTCCTTTAATGATATCTGTAGTGATTATTGGGGTTTTAAACAGTCAGCTGTTTGCGTCCCTGTGCTTCAGATATCGTATGTGGATAGACTCCTGCGCTGAGATGTTTGGGGGCCTCGACATCTGTGCTGTGAAGGCCGTGCATGGAAAAGACGGGAACGACTATATTATCGAGGTCAGTGTGTTTTCATCTACAGCTCCAGGGAGAGTTTCAGGAAACAGGGGCTGAAACTTGCTCTTTCATTGCATTAGAGTGTATTTTAGATAAATAAGATCTGTCATAATGTTTCATGAGAATATTGCAGGACATTTGCAAACATAACGGTTAACCAGCAGTTAGATCACTTCTCAGCAGCATCACAAGGCTAAAGCAGTTTGTGTAAGCGTTACCTTGGATTCATTCTCTTTCCCTGCTGATAATACTTTTCATATCATGGGTGAAAGTCAACCGGGAAGGGTGTAACCAGACTTGCTGGCACATGATCTTCACAGCCTTGAAAGAACGATTAGTCTGCAGACCAAACACAGGCAGCTGAATGAAAACAACATCAGGAGTCAGCGGTTTGACTCACTTCATCTTCTAATCCGGTCTGTTTGTTTGAGTCTGCTGGTAAAGTTTGGCAGTGGAAGTTTAGCTTGCAGTTTGTAGACAAATAAAACTGTCATGGCGTGACTTGACGCGACCAGTTTGGTTGGAGGTTTGGGCTTTCGATGTGATGAGCGTGGCAGTAACAGTGCCTGGGACGGGGTTTCCACTGGGGTCACTAGAGGTTCACTGGTCTGTATCTGTTTATACAGCATATAACATATGTTACACATAAGCATGGTTTAAAGGTGCAGTCTGCGGGGTTTTTAGGTCATTTAAGAGGGGCCAAAAAAAGAAGGTGGAACTCATAAATATACATCGATGAGTGTGTAATTGTCTGAATGCAGGTGCCTCATGTGTCTGAAAATTTCAGAACATATCTTTACTTGTTCAGATTCAAGAGACTCACCTTGATCATCTGGGTTTTTGAAGTGCACTCAAGCACTTTATCCTATTTAAGATTTATACTATTTAACATTCACATGCCAATAGATGCATCAGAGAGCAACCTGGGGGTCGTATCATGCCTGCACACTGCAGACAGTATCATGCATGCAGACTGGAACAGCCAAGGATGGAAAATACAATCTGACATGGCAACGGTTAGCATAGCAACAAATCTATGTTGCTATCATTGTCTATTAGATTAGTTGGATAGATAGATTTTTTTCAATAATGACATGAGAATTATAATTCATTTATTTAGAATATGTGTTAAGGGGCTTTATGGGTCAACTCACTTTATTTATCACTATTAAATAAAGAAAATCATTTAATAATTACGCACACACGCCATCTCCAGCAGCCTCACAGGTCTCACAGCCCCAACAGAAGGAATAACTTGCACATATATGTTACTATGATGAGCTTCCCTGGAACTCACACTTTCTGTATGTCTTACTTTTGTTCCACTCCAATAATTTGTTGTAATGCTTATTGATTCTAATCAAAGTTGTCAGTTTATTTATTTCTCTTTTTTTATATTTGATTTCTGTCCTTTTTAAAAAAAATAGCTGTTTATATAAAATCGTAAATACATTACTCAGAAATGCACATTTTCCTTTAACAATTATTCCCAGGGGCGAAGCAAGAGACAAATAGTTGTGTGTAATCAGTTTTGTTTTTAGAGCAGCTTCCTATGCCTTCAAGTCTGAGGAAATGAGCCAGTCTGGACATCTGAAATGCCCAAACTTAGGATCAGAACATGACATCACTCTGGTGACTATCTGTGTGCTGGGAGAGAGCGGTTGTGAGAAAGCAAAAAAGACCTCAAACTATCCCAGGAAGTATCTATCAGCTCCCCGGGGGCGTGTAGTCTCAGTACTAGGCTGCTACGACAGAGAAACCCATGACACAGTCAAGTAGCAATGTTTCCTGACAAGCATTACTTCCTCCTCCTTTACTCCAACCCTAGATGGAATTTAATTAAGTGCGACGTTGAAGAGCTGTCGGCCCGTCAGAAACTGTTTTCTTACTTTTTGTTTTTTTGCGTCAGAACAAAGACAGCAGCCGTAACACCTCACCCTAATGCACAGCAATGAGCTACTCAGAAGCACTTCATTAACACATTACTGCAGCTGGTGTCAACATGAGGCAAACTCCAGCTTGTGTCACTTCACTGGAAAATGTATAGATAATAGGGGTGCAGTATTGTTATGTAACATGACACCACAGCGTTTGACAAAATGACATGACAGAAAGTATTTTATATACACAGCTGATCTGACAGGATGTGTCAGCCACATGACATGAA